TGTGTGTGTGTGTGTGTGTACATATTTACGTATATATATATACATATATATAGTGTTATATAGATACATACTTGGAGCGTCATTTCTAAGTATAGAGTAGTATATGTATACATATACATGCATTACCCATGAAACACATATTTGGATCCAATCAAGACCCGAGTACAATTGTGCCATAAATATCCGCAGGGTGTCTTGGCGATCTCTTTGTATTTTAGCATGCAAAGAGGTGTAGGGTGACCAGTGAAATATAGATCTCCATGCTTTGACAGAACTAAGTGCAAAACTATGTCACACGAATACACAAACGAAAAAAACCTGCACAACAATGTCTACGCCCTCTCGACTCAGTTTTCGTGCACACCACCTGCTAAAACTGTACTTAAACCGAATGTTCTTTACAACGTACTGTTCTAGCTCAGGTGTTCTTAGTAGCATAGAATATATTTCAGGTACTGGACGCATTTGTTTTTCGTTGTTTTGTAAACCCAATTTGTAGCCACAGTATCCACACGTGTGTTAGATTCAGATTTTACACACTACAGCGGTACACCCTTTCCACCTCTCAACACTAGGCACACAAATTCGTTACCATATCCTTACAGATCCTTGCCACGTTTGAGGAGAACTTTGACGAGTTGCCCTGGATGGATGATGCCACCCGAGAGAAAGCGAGGGCGAAGATCGGGCTGATATCCCGCAAAATTGCCTATCCCACTGAGGTACATAGGCTTGTTACTTGAGCAGACCGGGCATGATATGTGAGTGTGTATAGAGAGAATGATATGCGAGTGTGTATAGTGAGAATGATATGCGAGTGTGTATATAGAGAATGATATGCGAGTGTGTATAGAGAGAATGATATGCGAATGTGTATAGAGAGAATGATATGCGAGTGTGTATAGAGAGAATGATATGCGAGTGTGTATAGAGAGAATGATATGTGAGTGTGTATTTAGAGAATGATATGCGAGTGTGTATAGAGAGAATGATATGCGAGTGTGTATGTAGATAATGATATGCGAGTATGTATAAAGAGAATGATATGCGAGTGTATGTATAGATAATGATATGTGAGTGTGTATATAGAGAATGATATGCGAGTGTGTAAATAAGAGAATGATAGGTGAGTGTATATATAGGTGAAGTAAGCTGAGGATAGCATTCTTTAAGCACGGTAGCATAGCGCTGAGCCTGTGTGGGTGGGGGACACGACCCAACACACATACACAGTACTACTGTTCCTCTAACAAGAGTATGCCTCAAATCGCGGTATATTGACTGTGCGTCACTATGAGCTTTTGGTATATTTCAAGATATATTTATCAATGTATACAT